AGACGCACCAAGACTTTGAAGAGGCAAATTAAAAAAAAGTTTTTGCACTCCGCAGACCTCCCCCAAAAGAACCATTTTTCAAAAAAAAAAAAAGGGCATGCATAGCCTTTAGGAGGCGTGTAGAGTGCTCCTGGAGGCGGGGGGGGGATGAGTCATCGTCCCCCCGCCCCAGAGCACTCTACAAGCCTCCTAAAGTCTATGCACGACCATTTTTGCAAAGGGAGCGGGGTTTCGGGAGGCCAAAAATGCTGTATTCAGGGTATAAGACGCACCTAGATTTTCACCCTCTTTTTTGAGGGGAAAAGGTGCGTCATATACTCTTCTTTCTGACAGTTGGCATCAATATATCCCTTTCTCATTTATTCTGAAGGGTTAGGGTTACCAATTTTAGTCAATTTAGGATACGTCCTCAGATACTGTACATAGAAGCTGCCTTCTGCTGAGTTCCACTTTACTTTCCACTGTACTGAGTCCATATAGACCAACTCCAGCTTTCCGCAGGAGTTTTCCTTGTCCTGCCTGGACTTTCCAGAGATTGAATCTAGGACTTTCTAAGCCCAAGGCAAGAGTCTTATCATACTGCTACACCCCCTTTCTCAATATACACCAATAGCTGGAGAAATAGTTAGTGGTGCCATACAACTAAAGTTATTCCATTATATTCTCTACTTTTCGCGAACATACACTGTTATCTTACGATGCAGTAAGAAGTCAAAAGTGGGAACTTACTTTGTTCTTGAAAGATTATTGCAAGTCTCTGAATTCATCATTCATTCAGACAGACAAGGCTGATGTGCTCAGTATGTCTCTAAAAAGCATTTAAGGCATTGCTTTGCGATGAATCCCTCAAAATATTGAGAACATGTCCCCCAAAAGACTCACGGTCACTTCAAAGGTTTTTGTAGGTTGTCTCTTCATGTATGTGCACACTGGAACACACTGACACACTGGAAGTATATTTGCCTGCACATGTACACACAATCAATTTCAAAAACTGGAGGTCTAAATCTTAATAGGTCTGCCTCATAGCTTCAAGAAGGGATGGTATGAAGTGTTCTTTCTAATGCTTTGCTCAAGCCTAGTGCCTTATATAGTACATATTGCCGTCCATATTATATCGGGAGAAAGACAGCATGTGAATGGATTTGGGATAGTAGATTCAGGCAGCCTGGTAAACAAGGACCCTGTTTCCAGGTGATATAATCAGCACTGTTAGGAGGCGCTGGTAATAATAGCTACTTAGGAAATTATCATTTAGGCCATGGGTCCCAAACCCCCGGTCCGTGGACTGGCACCAGGCCACAGCATGCCAGAAACCGGGCCGTGCAAACAAGCGAAGCCCCATCCATGGGATGCAGGCAGCACACAAAACCACACCCTCTCCAGTCCGTGGAAAAAATCTTTCTCCACGGAACTGGTCCCCGGTGCCCAAAGGTTTTGGGGAGCACTGATTTAGAAGTCACAGTTCAGTTACTGACACCTGTTTGAAGAAGGCTGGACAAGGTTTATGTGCCAAAAAAGAAACCTCCTATACCAGTGATGGCGAACCTGTCACACAGAAACATTGCATGCACATGCTTGTCAGGGCCACACACGCTTGTCGGGGGTCATACATGCTTGTCGGGGGGCGCGCTCCAGAAAAGCTGAACTTCTGGGTTCTAGCGTGCATGCACGCCTGATGATCAGCTGGCTGGCGCACATCCACGGGCCAGTTTTCGGCACTGTTGTGCGCGTGAAGGGATCGTGTTCCAGAAAAGTCGAACTTCCGGCTTCTGGCATGCTTGCGCACCCGACAATCAGCTGGACGGCACGCATATGCACACCGGTTTTCAGCACTGCCATGTGTGCGAAGGACAACTAATCGTCGTGCGCGCATGCATGCTAGAAACCCGGAAGACAAACAGGTAAGGCTGTGCGTGCCAGGCAACATGGCTTCGCGGGCCACTTTTGGACACCTGTGCCATAGGTTCACCATCATGGCCCTACACCAATTTTGACCACATCAAAGAGTAGAGTGAAAAATTTCTTTGTTTCTCATTTTAGTTAGGGATCTTCCAGAATGCTTTGTTTCCCAGGATGGATTGGAAATAGAAGTCTGCATAGGAGGCAGCTATATTTGATGCCGTAAAACAATTACCTTAATTGTCCTTTTTATCTAGCTCTGTACTGAGAACTGCCTTCCTGCTCCTCCTGTTGGTCAGTGCAACTTGGTTACTGGGTCTGATGGCAGTAAATAGTGGCATAATGACCTTTCACTACTTGTTTGCTATCTTTAGCTGCTTACAGGTAGGTGATATTATTTGGCCTTAATGGCAAGCTTTTTGATTTGTTTCAAGGGCCTTGATAATTTCTTTGCTCGAACAAACTTTTTTTTTAAAGATAGCAATATCACTTAGACTTATATATCGCTTCACGGTGCTTTACAGCACTCTCTAAGCAGTTTGCAGAGTCAGCGTATTGTCCCTAACAATCTGGGTGGTTAGGAGCAATCCTCATTTTTACCATCCTCAGAAGGATGGAAGGCTGAGTCAACCTTGAGCCAATAAGAATTGAACTGCCGAATTGCTGGCAGCTGGCAGTCCGCAGAATTGCCCTGCAGTACCGCATTCTGGGAGGACGCGATGGCTCAGTGGCTAAGACGCTGAGCTTGTTGATCAGACAGGTCAGCAGTTCGGCAGTTTGAATCCCTAGCACCGCATAATGAAGTGAGCTCCCGTTACTTGTCCCAGCTTCTGCCAACCTGGCAGTTCGAAAGCATGTAAAAATGCAAGTAGGAAAATAGGAATCGCCTTTAGTGGGAAGGTAACAGCGCTNAGAACCAGTAGTAAAAAAAAATTAAATCCCACCACTGACTCAAATGACTTTCCCATACTTAAAAAGCAAGGCAGAAGAATTCTTTCCTCCTTCCTTCTTTTCCATTTTTACATGTTGTTTATTCTTCCCAAGCCACGCCCATGAAGCCATGCCCACCAAGCCATGCCACATCCACCAAGCCACGCCCACAGAACCAGTAGTAAAAAAAAATTAAATCCCACCACTGACTCAAATGACTTTCCCATTCTTAAAAAGCAAGGCAGAATAATTCTCTCCTCCTTCCTTCTTTTCCATTTTTACATGCTGTTTATTCTTACCAAGCCACGCCCATGAAGCCATGCCCACCAAGCCATGCCACATCCACCAAGCCACGCCCACAGAACCAGTAGTAAAAAAAAATTAAATCCCATCACTGATTACCACCATTGGACAACAGCAATTTACCCCTTATGTAGAGACCAGGGACAGTAAATACTCACCATATTCATTGTCATAGAAAATAATAAATTTCTGCCAGGCATATTCGGTGACCACCCTCAAGATGACATCGTTGATGTAGACGGGTGGGCGGACAAAGAGTGTGTAATCGTCATTCCTGTTACTCCTGGTAGTGCCACAGCCACTCCTTGGGGTCCCAGCTGTTGACCTCTGGATGAAGAGATGAGGAATGTGCATGGCATCTGCCAGAGACTGGAGTGAGCCTGCCGATGTACAACCAATGGAGCTGACCAGAGCCAGGATCCCATGGTTCATGAGTTCGCAGGCTGCAAAATAAAAAGCAAAAGCAAATGAGAGTCAAGATGACAAGAGGAACGTAAGTGATATTCTTTTTCTTTTACCTTTAAAAAAATAAAGCAAACATCCTGCTAACACAAAACAGTGAACGTTGACATGCAACAGACTCAGCCGAGCAAGGCAAGGCTCCAGAGTTTCCATAAATTTGATGTATCTCGTCCTCCTTGAAAACAGGGCTTGTTTTAAAATCAGCACGGTGCCATAAAAGCCAAGAGGTTTGTCCATCCATTTCGAACTGCCAAACATATTACTGTTAATGAGACCTACATGGTGCCTATCCTTTTCAGCCTGGGAACAGGGGAGAGCCAGAGAAGAGACGCAACTTCCATAAATATTAGCTTTGGAGGACTCTGGATAGACATTAGTAATAGAACCCCGTGTTAAATTGGACCGAGTTACAGGAGAGATAAATGCAGCTCAAAGTCAACATGTCAGTGGTGGAGATAAGCTATTTTGTATTAGATCTAGAGAGATTTTGAAAGAATAATGGTTCATAGTGGAATGTAAAATATATGCACCTTCATCAAGAATGAAACCAAAACTTAAATTACTTTGGGGCAATAAATAAAATCCTAAAACAACAACACAACAACAAGGCAGCATATTACAGCTACACTCCATTTTTCCCCTCCATAGGGGGTCATTCAGGCATAATTCCATTTTAAAAAGAATTGGGTATGATAGCCAGTGAAATTGCCCCACGAGGAATGATTTTGACATCCCATGCATTTGTATTGCATTAAGCGGTACTGCAGATGTGTATGTCACAATCTTGTCCTTTTCTCATTGGTGAAGGAGCGGGAGAACAGGGGGAATGTTCTTTTAGGAGAGTCCAGGATGGCAGAGTCAACACCAGAGGTGATATTCAGCCAGTTCTGACAGGTTCTGGAGAACCGGTAGGGGAAATTTTGAGTAGTTTGGAGAACCGGCAAATAGGCTGGCCATGCCCCTCTGCCTTCCAGCTAATCTTCTTTTGTTGTCGATACAGGAGAACAGAGCTGAAAAGGTTATTGGGGTGGGGAGAGAATGTGGATTTTGCAGTAACCTTTCCCCTGTCATTCCCACAAACCCACGCCCACAAACCCACGCCACACCCAGAAAGCTACACCCACATAATCGGTAGTAAAATAATTTGAATCCTACCACTGGTCAACACAAATAAGATAGAAAGAACTTAAGCTCAATAAATGATTCATTCCTAATCTCCGTCATGAAATCTTTCTTCATGTATGGCAATGGATTCCAATATATTGTCTGTGACAATATAGTCCTAAGAATTAATCTTTGGCATCTCCAATTATCAAAATCTATGGCAGAAAAATTTCTGTGGGTAATCAGGAAAATGATTGAAGCCTGGGAAACGGGGCCCTTGTCAGTCAACAGGAATGCTGAATTACCACCAGCTTATCAAATACTTAGGAGCCAAGGACTTGGCAGCACAAGGAAACAACAGCCAATAGTCGACCATCAACACCCCAATCAACCAATAGGAAGCCACACCCAACCAGCCACCACATAAAAATGACACAGAGCAGGGATATCCAACCTTGGCAACTTTAAGACTTGTGGACTTCAACTCTCAGCTGAGGAATTCTGAGATTTGAAGTCCACAAGTCTTAAAGTTGCCAAGATTGGAGACTCCTGAGTCAGAGCATAGCCCAAAGCAAATTGTTCTGACCTAGCTTTCTTAGCAAGTAAGAAACAAAGTCTTGGTCCCTGCAAAACCTCTTTTATTTACACAACTGTGAGTTCCTTTCATTAATAGTCAGCAAGGCTTAGTAAACAGTCTTTCATAGGAATGTTTATCCCCACACACCTTATCTCATTAGGAGCGCTGCCAAATAACTAGTTTTCAAATGCAGGGCAAGGCAAACTTGGCACAGAGTCCCTTAAAGTCACACGCAGAACTTTCCACTCTCAAACCAACCGAATGAATGAATTGTTTCCTGCAAAAGCCCACTCCCCATTTGCTCCTCTTTTGTTTCCTATGGGAGGAGCCAATCCCCTCCAATGTGTGCCTTTACTCCTAAGTCGACCTTGCTTTCTTAGTTGCTCTTGTCTTCTGGCAGCTCTGCGCATGCGCACACTGGGAACAGGCTCCAGCTGTTCTTCTGCCTCATTGCTGCCTATCTCCCTCTCTGCCTCTGATGCAGAGCCCTCGTCTGAGCTTTCCTCAACCCCTAGGACCAGCCCATGTTCCTCCACAATCTCCTCACTGTCCGACTCTGCTGCCAGCTCCACTGGCCACCGGCAGGCCACAACACAAATATTGCGGCAGAGAGAAGTTCCCCGAGGATGGGCTGCAGTACAAGTCCAAAAGCTTGGAAGACTAAACCGCTGGCCTCGTGAATGGCCCACATTGTATCCTGCAACATTATCCTAGAACACATATATTTGCCTTCATTCATGGGAAGAACTACCAGGATCCCTGATCATTTCTGTCCATGAAAATATGTAAGTGGACAGTATACATCTACTCTATATTAACCATTCAGCTTTCTGCCTGCCAGGAGCTTCAGCCAATAACTCTCATCACCCCCCAATTGCCATGTACTGTAGACTTTTTAACATATACGAAGAGCACCTAGTTGGGGAATGCTACATTCTAGGAGGCTTTGCTTGGTTTGTTTGAAAGAAGCATTGATCAGATCCCCTCACTGAAACAGAGCTGCTAATCAAAATGAAGACTTTGTTCAAAGCAATAAATTCCAAGGGCTCCCGAAGCATTCTGAAGATTCAAAAGCTTTTCTAGTGCTTTCAGCAAAATAGAACGCTGCAACTTAAATTCCATATATGAAGACTAGCGCGGAGATCTTGAATGTTATGCTAGCCTCTTTAATACTGATGTAAGCAATTGTCCATTAAGATTTATCACGTCACTTGCGGGATAACCCGGTGTTGCCCGGGTATTTATTTATCCTAATCCTGTATTAGACAGGAAATGGCCTGATTTCAGAGGCAATTAAATTAGTTACAAATGTTTTCCCTGTGCTCCCAGAAGTGTCAAGGAAAGTGGGAGCTCCCTTGTGGAGTACTGTGAAGCCGTGACCATGGCAACTCCACTGTGCTGTACAGTAGAAGTCATTTTACAGCAGTACGGTAGAAGCCATTTTAAGGCACAACAGGCTTTATCTTAACAGAACACATATCCCGAGGGGTGTTAGGTGTGTCTTACCCCCACAATATTTGTTTCTGGAAAGTAAGTCATCTGTATACCAGGTTTGTTTGAAATAGCTCAAGCCGTTCCAGGGTTATGCTGAACACACACACACACACACGCACACACACACCTATACATTCTTTGACTAACATGGCTGTTTTTGAGGTGGCAAGACTAAGGTTTCTTTGGCGCCATTCGTTTCCTCAGAAATCAACTTTTTTAGCACATCTAGCCACGTGCCCTTACTTTTCTCTCCATTGTACTAATAGAATGTTACAGTTCTTTGCTGGCTTTTTGTCAAACCAACTGGGATCACAATATTCTAAATATACTTCATGTTGCATGATTGTAACAGGTTTAAATCTCTTGACGATGAGTGAAATGGACATCAGGCTAACACTCTGCTGGCTCAAATTCTCAGGATTGCTTATCTCTGTGACATTCTACCCCATCCCACTTCCTCTTCTAGATTTCTAACAAATAATATGAACCCTAAGCAATAACTTTGACAAGCACATCTTGCCAAGGATGAAGGTGTTTTCTCCCCCCTTTTTTTTCCAGGGGACATCAGCTTGCCAACCAGTTATGCCACCAATCTCCCTGGCATGCCAGAAAACCCAGTGATCAGAACATAGCTAACCACTCCATAAGGCTAATGGATATACTTCTTAATTCTATCCAGAAAATTTCCCAGTGTATCCTCAGCCTAACACCCAGGTTGAAGGGATTCTTGCTAGGAAGGATGAAACTTGCCAACCAAGCATGCCAATCTTTTGGGCAACCCTAGGAAAAGAAGGGGAAACTTTATTTTTAACACTATTTTTCAAAGCTCATATTTTTAATTCAAGCAGGCCACTTTTTGCCCAGATTCACTCAACTTTTTATTGGCTTTTTGCCAGACAATTTGGAAGCTGTTGTGCTGCTCATTAGTATTGTTGTAGTCAACTCTGCTTTTTCTATTGTGGTAGGACCTTTTAAAGCACTAAAATAAAACTTGGCAGTGGTAAAAAAATTTACAGATCTAACTTTCCTACTTTAATTTCCACCCTGCCAAAACATGAAACAGATTCACCTGTTTGGACGTTTCTCCTTTAAAGCCTGTGGATACATTTTCTTTTGCAACAGTTCTTGAATTGGCTCTATTTGGCATGCAGACGCCCTTTTGACTCTTGTATTCTTAATTCAAAGCAAATTAGGGTGGATTTGCGCAGGCCTGATCTTTGTACAAAGAGAACAGAATGGAAAGAAATGGAACGGAACGAAGCAGAAAGGAACAGAATGGAATAGACCCGTGATGGTGAACCTATGGCACCCGTGCCATAGGTGACGCATAGAGCCCTCTCTTCGGGCATGCGAGCTGTTGCCCAAGCTCAGCTCCACCATGCATACGCGTGTGCCTCCTGCTGGCCTGTTGATTTTTGGGTCTCCGCCATGCATGCATGGGGAGTGGGGTGGATGTGGGAGATGTGCGTGCATGCACGCGGGTGGCACAGCCACCCCATGGCCCATTTCTGCTCCCAGGAAGCTGCAGGGAGGCCTACTGGATCCAAAATGGGGCATTGGAGAGTCATGTGCACATGCACAGGGGGAGCAGAGGACACACACGCATGCTCAGGGAGCTGGGGCATGCAGGGTCTCGCATACACATTTGCATTATGGGTGCTTCCAGCATGCAACAACACAAAGGTTAGCCGTTACTGGAAGAGATCATACCCCATGGGTGCACTGTCATATGGAAGATGTCTCCTTGTTACCGTGTGAAGGCATTTTGTGTATTGGAGAAAACAATATTTGCTTCCTCAAAGTTTGGCAATAATGCAATTCCTTTACTACTGATAGAGTCATTGAATTGAACTACATTGGGTCAGTTGGAGAACCGTATTTGAACTTTCCATAAGAAGAGCACAGTTGGGAGATGAGGCATCTAATAACTCGGGCCCTCAATATTAACTTCCTATAGTTTTTACTTTATTGTCATGTTGCATAGTACTATTAGTAGTATTCTATGTACCATAGTACCATAGTAGTATTTTATGGTAGTATTCTATGTACCATACTACTCAGGGGTGGGTTTCTCGCCCCGTTCCAACTGGTTCGGTTGGAACGAGGCCGGCGGCGTCCTTGCGCACGCGTACGGTGTGTGCGTGCATGTGTGCGGCACTCACATGCGTACTAGCATCTGTGCGATGCTCCAGCTGCTCCTGGAGGATTGCGCAGGCACTGTATGCGTCCTGCGCATGCGTGGAAGCACAGAATTCGTCAAAACCGGGTAAGGAGCGGGTGCGGGTGCGCGGGCGGGCGCAGGCGCGGGGGGGGGCTTCGCTGTTCCCAGAAGTTACTTACTTCTGGGTTCGGCGACCAACCGGTTCGCAGGAACCGCCGCGAACCGGTTGAAACCCACCCCTGATACTACTATAGAATACTACTATAGTATTCTATAGTAGTATTCTATGTACCATAGTACCATAGTAGTATTCTATGGAGGTACTTTTGTTTAGTTCATGGGAATCCCTTGGGTATGTATAATGTAGAATGTTTCCATGCGCGCAGAACACGTGCACAGGAACTTCAGGATGGCTACAGGATATGCAAAAAGTAGCAATCCATGAGCAGTGTAGCAGCTTCACTTTTAGAAAAAAAGAAAGCAATTCTGTTTTCTAAAGCATCCTGAAGGAAATCATTGATTCGAAGCAAGGCATCCTTTTGAAGCTCTGCACAGTGTACTGTAAACCACAGGAGAGAAGAATCCACAGGACTTTAAAAATACATCAAAATATCACTATCACAAACACAGTGTTCTTCATGCAAAAAGTTAACACCTTGCAACTAATGGTCCGGTTAATGAAGGCTGAGCAACAGTACAAACACTTGAAGTGCTGTATTAATGACATCCACATTAATACTAGAAGTGTTTATCATGATTAATGTTAATGCAGTTGATAAATATCAAAGGAATTAATAATGATTAAGCCCATAATTTTGACATATTACTCCTCTGAGAAGTACGAAAAAACGGTAAAGTGTTTACGGTAAAGTGTTTACGTCGGCTTTGTAATGAAGTTGAAAGCTGAAGGAGAAAGCAATGCAACTTTTTCAGAGTCTTTGCACGGTATCCAAGATTTCTCACACCAGATTTATGCTTAGCCATCAACACGGGGAAGTGACCTGTTCTTCAAGATTCAATGCAGGCAACTACACATTTAATGAACTGTTACATTAAACTATTGCTTCTATCTCTATACGTGCTGTCAACTTTGACCAGATGCATATATTTTTCTAGTCAAGGGAATTCACTCATTTCTCGGAAAATTTAGAGCCGATTGAAAATTCATAAATTCAGCAAGGGTTGGAGAAAATTAAATAAAGATTGGAATTGAGTCAGAGCTCAGACATGCAACACTATTTCAAAGCCAGGAAAAACTCAGTTTTTATTACATTTATTAAAAGATATACTCTGAATATTGGCTTTTCCTTTACTACTGATAGAGTCATTGAATTGAACTACATTGAGTCAATTGAGGAACCGTATTTGAACTTTCCATTAGAAGAGGACAGTTGGGAGATGAGGCATCTAATAACTCGGGTTACATTAACATGCCCTCAATATTAACTTCCTATAGTTTTTACTTTATTGTCATGTTGCATAGTACTATCACATTCACACTAATATCAACACTTGGATCCAGGGGTGGGTTTCAGGCGGTTTGCGGCGGTCCCCGCGAACCGGTTGGTCGGCGAACCCAGAAGTAAGTAACTTCCGGGAATGCCAAAGGATCCACCTGCCCGCCCGCCCGCGTTTCTTACCCGGTTTTGATGAGTTCTGCGCTTCCACGCATGCGCAGAACGCATACAGTGCCTGCGCGATCCTCCAGAAGCAGCTGGAGCATCGCACAGGCGCTAGTACGCATTTGTGCACTGTGCGCGTGCACAAGGACGCTGCCAGCCCCGTTCCAACCGAACCAGTTGGAACAGGGAGAGAAACCCACCCCTGCTTGTATCTATATGGCCAGGATCAAAAACAGGGACATTTTTGCCCGATGTGTTGAGCTTAGAGCAAAATTCATTTTGTAGGGTTAATACAGTACCTAATCTGGGGGCAGGGGAGGTATAAGCAAATCTAGACAGCAAATCTCTGTCAGCTCCATTTTC